CATTATCGAACTACTAGCACTACCAGAAAAATCCGCGACTGAAAATATGATACGAGATGGGAAACATTCAAGACTTACAAGCCAGAATTCAGGGCGCAAAGAATGAACAATCCGTGGGCATGATCAGAAACAAATTAAGAATCCATTATGATGATGTCTGATTTGCTTAGAGCGCATCACACAAGTTAAGACTCCATGCAGAGAGAAATCACTTTTCGTGACACTACTTGAACTAATACGTGTACTGGAATATTCACAATAATAGTGTCTGGCTATCAGTCACTGTGTTCCAAACCCAACTGCATCACCAACTTTAACATCATTAACAGTGTTCCAAACCTTAAGGTGCAATATTTTTTTTGGGGGGCAGGGTATGATATTGACTAAGTGAGGATTTCAATGAAATGTGACTTTCTCTGTTCACTTTTGAAAAATGCCGTATAGTATAGAAATTCATTTTATGTTATGACAAAAAGTTATTACCCCATTTGTATACGACTTATTTCATCGATTTCTACTAATAAGTTATTGCTAATAAGTTTCCTTTTCCCATAATTTTAATGCACTTTTGCGGATTTCATAGATTCAAATAATATTCACGAGATACATTACATGTCCTCCACAGAATTCTTAAGTACCTATACCTATTCGATATCTTCGGTCAAAAGGTGTAATGTCAGGCATTGCATGTAATCTAAAGTTAATGAGACGCCCGTCGGCGCCATTGTCGGTTTAACCAATTTTGGGATAAACTAAGACGGAGATTTCCATGGTAAAGAACAGTGCAAACCAAAAGTTTGAGAGTTGAGTCCTCTTAAACGAATAGAAAAAGCTCGATTACATCAATAACGGATCCAACATATTGAGTTGCTGATCCACACCGATTTTGATAATATATTTTTACGTCATTTTTCTTTGCCTTTAGGGGATTTTTAAAACATTTTAAGAGACTTTATTGATATTTTTTGGCGATGTTTTAGGTTAAAACCCGTCCCCTAATAATGACGCTACGCAACTCAACAAACATTCTCGGATTATAACAATTCCTCTAGTTATATTTTAAATGTCCAATTTTTCGCAATGTCAAATCGATTTTCAATAATTCCCAAAATTTCGAGACTCTCCAAAACGTTCCATCTAATATAAAGTTATTGACGTTACGTTTTTTAAATATTTTGAAGATAATTGAATTAATGAAAAGCTTGAATTAGATATTTATGACATACGAATAGATCGTCACTTGGATCATGTTTTTCATCTTAATTTCTATCGAACCTTTCGGATAACGCTTAAGATACTTCTCATTTGTTTCTGAATTGCCCCCTTGCATCCTCCCAAATGTCACATACGCTTTGATAATCAATGTATATAATAATAATAATAATAATAATAATAATAATAATAATAATAATAATAATAATAATAATAATAATATGCATGAGACCACTAGAGGATATGAATGTACTATTAAGAGTATATCAAATTTAAAACAATTTTCTCATTATTACCCCCGTCTCGATCGTAGAGGAAGTTGGTCACCATAAGCCCACCTCCATTCCTCCTAATCGATGACCTGGTTCTGCTGCTGCGTGGACCCGGGTGTTCTCACTCCATCGAAAACAATCCATTACATATTTTTTGGCGGTATTTAGATTTAATGCATTTGCGCATGGCATTTTAGCTCGCCTTAAAGTATTCATTTAAGCCGGAATTTCAATGAAAGTATTCATACCTAAAACAGTGTCGAGCACTAGAAGACACAATACATGTGCATGTCTAAACGAATTGCAAATCAGCCCAGAAATTTTCGGATTAATAATGAAAATAAAACCCAAAGTTTCCTATAAAATGGGTTTCGACACAGAAATGTTCCTCAGGTAGAAAAGCGTAACACACTCGATTCGTGTATTAAAGAGGCAACAGGCATCAATCGAAATAGCATTCAAAATATTGACGAAGCAATTCAAAAGTTAATATAGAGCTCTATGAAAAATGGAAGTCCTAATTATACGTGGAGGGCATGCGGAGCAAGCGTGAAGAGTCACAAAATATAACACGAAAAAATAGTTTCTGCTGTAATCAATAGCAATCCTAGTCAATCGTACTAGACGCAATACGGCAGACATTACTAAGTAAATCGCTACACAACGTAAGAAGGTTTCAAATAAAACGAACACTGATCAACTAAACTAAGTTCAATCCATAATATATTTTCTTTTCTCATGTTGGCAATGATTTCAAATTAATTATAATTTTGCAATTAATTAAATAATATACATTCAAAATAACAAGATAAATTTACACTACCTATTTAAAATGTGTCTAGTTTCCATTTAGTATAGTTATCTGCCAAAAATTGAGATTGTATTGTTATTATTAAGTTATAGATGCGTGAAGAGTATGTTTCGTAAATGTCACATTTTGTGTATTCAAATTCAAGAATGTGTACCAAAATTTGCATTTATTCCCTTTTCACCTATGATAGAAAATTCCAAATGTCTCCCTAGCAAGACCATTACCTTTCACCTAATGAATATTTTGGAGAGATAAAATTATCATCACATGATTTGTTCATTAATATTGTTATTGTTATTGTTTTTCTTAATCTCCACAAAGAAAATAGTATTTCAATCTCACCATAAAAAATTGGTCTATACATAATAACTTCCCCTTTGCTCTACGTCAAATAGAAAAGTATTAGCACCATATGTGAATTGCGCCAAATTTTATAACTGAGCATCCATAAAATATTTCAAAATATTTGTTTTCATGTAAGATTATGTTATAAAACATTGCAATACAAAACAAACCATATGCTAATCAAGAAAATCCATTACAACAGTGTACATTGTAATGTAAATAATTTGGTTAGAACTGCAACTTCACAGCAACAAAGTACAATAACACCTCCAATCCTACCAATTTAAGAATTTATCTCATTTCCAAATAACAAAAACTTAGCTGGCAAATTTGAACTTCCTTCATAGATTGCACTACAGCAATTTCTTAAAAAATTATATCATAATTTGACACATCCAAAAATATTTGCAAATAATGTATTAAATGAACTATTTGATGCTATTTCCAATATACATTCTGACTACTGTACCTAAATTTGCAGAATTCTTTTGATATTGATTTACCCCTGAAAAATTAATTCATCAGAAATTCATATTAACATTACTATTACAATGGCAATTTGAAATGAATACATTATTGAAATGGTCCAAGTAAATGTATCGAAGTACAAAGCAAATCAATGTAAAGGAATCACTTTTTAATAAGTGAATACATGACAGAAGGTAATATTTTCCCCTTCGCCTTTCTTCCTGAAAAACGTATTGTAGATGGATTTTAAAGTTTTCAATCAATATGATCAAATCATGATCACTTAAAAGTAAGTAATGTAAGATATTGTAAAGCAATATATTTCTGATCAAAATGTAATACTAAAATTATAAAAATATCTGTGTCAATGATGGTTTAATTTGTACAATTTATTTATTATAATTTAAAATCTAACATTTTCAAAGAATATAGTAAAATGCAATTACTTCTTTGACAGTAAGGTAACAATTTCTTTCACAGAACCATGAAACAAACACACTTCGTAACGCAATATTTTAAAAATAACCACAAAACGTATTAAATAAATTGTACACCACCATTTTAAGAATTACTTATTATATTCATAAAATATACTCTTAGTATTTTTTATAAAGAAGTACTGAGTCACAGATACATAGCAACAAAAAGATTTAAGTATATCAGCAGAGATCCATATGGTTGAACACCATCAGCAAAACTTATTTTAAAATCTTTGGGCTAGTCAGAAAACTGAACATTTTTTTCAGATTTGTCACAAATAATCTTTCTTCAATGTTTCAATAATCTACATGTAATTAATTGTCACAAAATGAATACACCCTTTATGAATGCAAACACTCCATGTTCAAAACAATGAAAACAAGTTCAAACTACAAACCACACCAACGTCATTCTGCATTGTGAAGGATACAGGCAAGCATTCAACATTAGAGCTAAAGGAAATAGGGTGCAACAATTTTAATGTGGCTTAAAAGTGTACTTCATAACTTGTCTACATTTAAGAGAGATGTATCATCAGTACTGAACACATTTATATTAAATATTTTGCTAATTATTCAATGAAACAATGCAGTATTAAGGATAACGCAAATCTTCAGGAATATAAAATAGAACCAGTTTCTTTTGCAACACATGCTCAAGACATTAAAATATGACATTTTTAACATTTGTATTCTACATATATTTGAACAGGGATTGTGAAGGGATATCATCAGTGATCTAAAAAGATATCAAATTATTACAGTAGAGTTGGATTCACTTTTAAAGCAATAGATTAGGAATTATGACTGTGTATAAATGAAATAAAATAATTCACACAAAAACTACAAATTTGTGATAAAACTTTTATTTATAAGAGCATTATGATCAAACAGCATTCGCTCCACACATTATCAGTCACATAAAAGAGTGAATGATTCATTAGTTAAGAAACTTAAATTAGGCCCTACTTAACATACAAAATTATCCTATGTCAACTACAAATTAATAATTTTATAATTTTTTTTGGAAAGCATGAATAATCCATGCATAACAGATCTATAGTCAATCTTCAAATTATGCCCCAGTGACAAGCTGGGCCGGGAATTTTCATGCAAAATTTATTAGTTCTACGGACTTCTAAGGGAAACCTTTTGAAGTTCGTCCTACATTAATTAAAGCACAAGCTATTAACGGCATGCAGATGCCGACAATCTGGTCTACTTCCTTTTCCAACTGGATAGCGCCGAATGCCAGGCAAACAAATTGCATATATCGTAGGGGCAAAAATCAACAATCGAGATGGAAACGAACTTGATAAAAGCTGAGGTAAATGCAGGGAGAGGCAGCCGCATGCTAATACAGAAAAGCCACAATAACCTCAGTAGCCACAATCATAATAAATTTTCACTTACGTATACACAGTCATGTATTTTCCGACACATTACACAAATCTCGGCCTTCTACCAACTACAGTACACCGAAAAATCAATGAATTCTTCATAAATTCACAACCTACTCGCCGACCGGTAAGCCATGTTCTGCTACCAAAACAAACACATAACGCACAGCACCTTCGATAAATTTGATATCCACATGTTCTTTCTTGTCAAAAATGAAGTTTAGAGATAATTCTATAGAAACTTGAATACGAAAATTACATATATAGCATGCCCAATACTGTATTCTTCAAATAAACACTTTTATTCACTATTACTCTGGACTGCCAATTTCGAAATTCAGCAAGAAATAATCGTAGATTCTAAACGTTTACGTATATCTCAGAAATTAAATATGTGTATTACAGAAATCTAAATCTTGTTAGAGTATTAATCAATCTTTAACTCTCACATCTTCGTCGACCGAACCCCAAATCCCCAGCCCCACACCCTTCGGCCACAGCGAGCCCGGAGCTCCAGTCGGGTCCCAAAGCTCACAGTGCTGAACTCGTGCAGCGCACAAGAGAACTACTCGACGCCGCCCTCGCGTCAAGCAGGATGTGTCTTATTGCCGAGTCCTCGTTATGTATAATAATATTAATAAGAGCCGCTGAAACAGAAAACACACTTGCGTGGGAGCGAGGGCATCATACAACATCTGGCCAAACTCGCGCAGATATATATATATATATATATATATATATATATATATATTGTTGTAGATGTTGATTGTTACTGAAATTATTTTAATTATATAAAATAATTCCGAGCAATTTTAAGAAAATAATTTTTTCTACTTATTATTTTCTCCTTCGACAATAATCAATTTTAAAATATATATTAATAAATTGACAGGGACGCCGGAAGGACAAGAACGAGCAGAGTAAGTACTTTTCATTGCACGGTAGTGAATATTTTCTTATCCATTCTTGACAAAAACACTCTATTCTACCAGTATTCTTAATGAGGGGCGTTCAGAAGGAAGGGCACTTGTGGAAACTTGTCTTAGATCTCAACGTAGTTGGGATTCCGAATTATTTTCGTTTAAATAAAAAAAAAGATTTACTTCTAATTCAAATTAACCGCTATACGATATTTCTGTGGCAAGGAGAAATTCATTCAGTTTATGTGTTGGGAGAGGGGCGGTTTGAATTTGTATGAAATGACGGATTCCTGTGGATATACCGATCCAGCTCTCTTGTTTTCATTGGAGCCCTTACTCGTAATTCAACTTAAAATAACACACGAGCTAGGGTCAGGACGCTAGAGCTCTAGAATCCTGCACAGATGTACTTCTCACCATAGTAAGTCATACAGTTTAACTGTTGTTTTTTTAACGTTAAATAAATAAATTAATGGAAGGGATGCGAAGCCTCTTTCGTGATAACTGAACTGGGAGAGGGGGAGCGATGCTCCAACAAACGTTTGGGAAATTTTAAAGTTGAAAACAAGCATAAATTTTCACATAAAACCATCCAAGTATAACTTGCACACGTAACCAAGAGAAATGAATTAATAGGCAATCTAAAATGAGTTAGATTTGTAAATTACATATTTACTTTGTAAATGAAACTTAAACGTTTAGAATCTACGGTTATTTCTTGCTGAATTTCGAAATCTCACAGCCCAGATAAATCGTGAATACATGTGAAGAAAACAGTATTGGGATCTCATTTATGTATTTTCTGTATTCAAGTTAATATATAGAAATATCTCGAAACTTCGTTTTTGACAAGAAAGAACGTAGGGATATCAGATTTATCGGAACTGCTGAGTGTTGTGTTTGTTTTGGTAATTTATGATGGCTTGAAAGTTGACTGATTATTTTCGTACCATTGATTAATATTTTTATCCACTTTGGTCAGGTAAAGTCAAACATTATGTTATTATAATCAGTTTCGTAATGAACTTTACCGTCCGTACCGTCCTAGTGTGGTAATGTATTTGTGTACTTCGTTATGACACCTGAGTGGTCTTGTAATGGCGTACATTCCCATTCTTTTAATGAAAATATATTGGACTTCGTTTTGTATCCTTCACTTTTCCTCTTTAATAAACACTAATAACTGAGTAAACGTATTGATATTGATATCGTCATAGAGTGATATTATACTCTTTAACATAGAGTAGTGAATCCAAAGACGACTTTGTTTTTTTCCTTTTCTGACTTCCCAGAAAAGTAAGCAAATCAAAACTTTTTCCGATAAGAAATAAACTATTTTCACTATTCATTATTTAAAAATATTAAATACTCACGATGATATTTCTTTCTTGATTTGTTGGGTAATAATGTTTTCTACAGCAGCATTTGCTGTTATTTTTATTACCGAATCAGAACTATATTCACTCATGACGAAAAGTATACAGCACATGTGATTCAATTGTTCTTGTTGAAAACAGTGTCGCCACTTCCAGGAGAAAAGAATTGAATAGGCATAGAACTAAATTTCACATTAAATCTGAAAGATTTTTACGCAGTGATAAAAGTACGATATTCCTGTCGTAACATTTTATTACTATACTCAATTGGTCACCAAACTTGGCCTAACAGACTCGTTTGGCTATTTTGCAATTTCATATTGTTATCAAACGCTTTACGACACATGTATCGTAAATAACTAATAACATTGTGCAATATTTGACTAGTTTAGTAACAGAAGACGTTTGGCCCTTAGAAAGAAAGAAAGTTATTATTAACGTTATTATATTAAGATTATATTTATAACATTTATTAATAATAATTAACAAGAAATAAAAAAAATATTTAACAAATGTGTATAATAACTAAAAATCGGTATAATAAATAACAAATTTATTTTTTTCAAAAAGAATTTCGCCCTCCCCTTCCCTCAAATAAAAATATTTCTGGCCCGCCAGACATTCAAGTGAAAGTACGACAGCATATTATGCAACATGTACACGATTTGTTAATATAGAATTTAAAAATAATTTTCTAAACAATTTTAATTCGTCTTATGAATCTTCAAATACTTCTAATTTCGTTTCCTCATCAGAGACGACGACTTTTTCTTAAAAAATATGACATATATAGAAGAAAGACAATTTTGTGCATTTTGAAGAATTTGTTAATGACTCACGCCACATCTGGGTATAGGGAAGATAATTATTTTCCTTCCCTCCCCTCTTTGTTGCATTAAATTTGTTTGTTGAGAACAAACTATTTAAAGACAGCAAACAGCAATTATTTCACCTCTGGTATATTATAACTCAGTTGTAATCAGTAGGGACTAGGCGAGTAGTCAAGGTCTTTGCGAGAAGTTATTCCATGTGAACGGAAGATTATTTCTTTGCCCTGTACATGCTTCATACATACATACACACACATACACATACACATACATACACATACACACACATACACATACACACACAGAGGGAGAGAGAGTTTTCCCGTTTTTTCCGTTTTACAGTGATTATAATTATAGAATGCAACTTTGTATTAGATGAATAGAGCACTTGGGATATCCAAGCTGCTACTCCTAAATTCTGGCAAGTCTGTCTGTAATATGTTATAGAAATATAAGAAGACTACACGCCTTTCTTGAATTGAAACACATTTCTCTACTGAATGTCTTGTTAGTACAATTCTACCACTACATGATCGTTTATTTCTAAAGTCGTTTGTTCTTGCAGAAGAAGAGCATTCATTAAAAGCTTTAACCGACTGTTGATTACTCTGGCTAAAAGTTTGTTACAAATTTAAAGTTTAATTTTCTCTGGAGTTTTAGAGTTTATTACGTTCCATTTTCTTGGGAATTATTTCAGAATTGTTTCTTGCATTATTCAGTGATGGCGAAATATTTAGATGAGGAAAGTACCTCCGTATTTTATAAGTTCCACGTTTGTCTCCATTTATTTCAGGAGTTTTACCTTTTCCTAAATTTCAAGGCCTTTTGTAATTCTTTTAAAGTTATGCTGATAATACAACGTATATTTAATACAAAATACTGAAATTAATCTTAAAAGAGCCCTACCTCACTTTGCGTTGACATATGGAACTTAAAATTTAAATTCTCCACTTCAAAGATTAAAATCAAAGTCTTTAGAGGACAATGTCCAATCCGTTAAACTTTATTGCACTTTTGACTTTTATATTCGTTTCCATTTGTCAGCGATTGCCTCTCATATTTTGGTTGCAGCCTTGTTTATCCACTCATAGGTCGTGGTCCATTTTCTCATTTTCTACATTATAGAAATATGACGACTCATTCTTAAATCGTCCATTTCTATTGCATGTAGTAAAAAGTGTTTTTGAAAACAAAAATTATAAGCAATAAAATTATAGAACAAGTCTTGCACTTCAACTTCCTAGAATATGACATCATGTAGTTAAGACATGGATAAGAACATAACCATTAAACCAGGCGCGGATCCACGGGAAGGAAAATGAGGCACCCTCCCCCCCCCGCCAAAAAAATTCAGTAACTATTTTCACATAATTATTAAAACGAATAAAATCATATCGCAGCAAGAGCTGAGGGTAGCCTGAATTTTACAAAATCTGTAATATGACACATGGTGAATTATAGCCTCATGTGAAATTTGTTACGACATAACGAGTTAGCATGCTTCCCAGGGGCTAGTCCAACCCTCTATCCTTATTCGTGCCCAATTCTGGGCGATGTGTAGATGACGCAGGGGGCGTGCGAGACGCATGCGCGAAGACGCTACCTATGGCGATTCCCTGACGTCACCGCGACTGCGACTGACGTCACCGCGACTGCGACTGACGTCACCGCGACTGCGACTGACGCCACCGCGACTGCGACTGACGCCACCGCGACTGCGACTGACGCCACCGCGACTGCGACTGACGTGACCGTGACTGCGACTGACGTGACTGCGACTGACCAACCAGTGATATTCGCACCCTAACATCACCCTTTGAGAAACATTATTTGAAAATTCATACATATTCGTTGTACTCCGATGTGACTTATTCCATAGCCCGCCATTATGCCTAATAGTAGCGGGCTATTGTTAGGAAGTGCCGGACAATTGCCCGGGGCCCCGCTAGTCAAAAGGCCAGTTGATGGGAAAAAATAAGTTAAAGAAATCGCTATCGTAATTTTGAAGGTCGCGCTACAGTAGACTGATATTTTATAAAATTTTGAATTAAATGTTTACCTTAAATACTTAATTACAGTCATTTCATGTAAGGTAGAACTCTATGAAATGAATCAAACGACGCTAACATTCAAATAGGTTCTAGTAAAATTTATGTTTATTATTTCACATACATAACAAGTGATTAGATTAAACACCAACAATTTTCAGCGTTTTATGCTCACCGTGGAAATTGTATTATTTGGTCACCAAATACTTAAACTATTATTTGAAATAAATTTCCCAAAACGTTTCCTACCTTAAACTTAGACATTGCAATTGTGTTACGTAACAAAATAAAATAAACCATATAGTTTCCTGATACAACATTCACATTTTAATTTTATTTCGAAGGTGCGGGGGGGGGGCTACGTTTCAGCATTGCCTAGCTGCAGCACTGATGTTATGTCAATTGTTTTTCAGTATGTATCACAATTCCAATATTAGAACTGGCTTTAAAACAGAGACTTGGACTTTACGACT